TTTGGGTGCCAGTGTGAGCTTGCTTCCATTGTCTATCTATAAGAAGCTCAACATTGGAGATCTTAAGCCGACGACGATGACACTACAGCTTGCAGATAGATCCGTCAAATATCCTGCAGGTATTCTCGAGGACGTCCCATTGAAAGTCGGGGATTATTATGGACGAGGACTCGAAGATACCGATTATACTAGGCTGACCGTTCTTAAACACGGCCGATGCGGTGGTTCATGTTCGTGCTGGTCGTCTTACGATGAAGATAGGTGACGAGATTGTGGAGTTCACCTTAGATCACAACATGAAGCAACCATCCACCACCGATTCAGTATGCTATGTCGATGTGCATGAAATCCTCACTCAAGAAGTCTTCGATCAGTTTCGGGAAGTCGATCCTTTAGAGATATCTCTCCTCGCGTCAAATGAGAGCATATACAGCAATTGGGAGGATATCCGGGAGCTTACGCGAGCATTTGACGAAGGATCGGATGAAATTGGAGTTTTACAGAAGCTTGATCCGGACCGATTCCATCTGGAACCGGACCGAATCCAAACACCTTCCGAAGCTGAATTTTTACAGAAGGTGGATACGGACCGATTCCATCTGGAAACGGACCGGATCCAAAAACGGTCTTGCGAATACAAACTGAAAACGGACCGAGTCCACCTGGAATCGGACCGGATCCAGTCTCTGAGCAAATCGGATATTTTTCACATCGACACGCCCGATTCTTTTACGAACGTCTCCGAACCTTCCACGACGATTACTAAAGACACTCTAAGCCCAGAGAGCGACCACCTAGCACGGGGACGCTGAATAAAGCGGATTGGAGTCTAGAGAATGCCCCGAAGGTGAAATTGAAGCCCCTACCTCAAAGGCTTAGGACAAAGAAACACACATACTCGGATAGGAACACAGGACCATCATTGGAGAGAGGTACATATCCCGCTCATAATCCTATATCCGTGTTGAACCTTTTATTACAGGTTGTCGAGTAGGGGTAATGAGCAAGAGAGGATCGAAACGAGCAAAATCATCGCTCAAACGTCCACAAGATCCACCTCCTTCACAAGTTTGGAAACCCAAGGAGGATAGAAGGCTCAAGCATCCACGAGGTCCAAAAGATGCGCTTAATGCTCAACATCCAGGGTGGCGAAAGATCGATTATCTTCGCCTCTCAGACCCTCCCATCATTTGAGCAAGATAGGTCGAGCTAATGACGTTAAACAAGCGCTTCTTGGGAGGCAACCCGAGCACTAGGTAACTTTTCTTTTTATTTTTCTTTTTCTTTATAGCATAGGTAGTAGAGACCATGATTGTATTTTTGGATCCTTCGGAATGCATTGCTATTATTATGCTTTTGTCCGGATAACATTTGTTGTTCTATGAGCGTTTACACCGGCACAAGAGAGATGAGCATCGACTTCCAAGAGACAATGTTGGATAGGTTCTAGTTTACAGAGTTTGTGAGAGCTCTTGCGTTTGATCTGAGTTAACTTCATTGCGAGCGAACGAATTTCGCAGAGCTAAGCCTTCTCTATCCCTCTTATTGGTTCTTTCTATACGTTGTTTTCGATTCTACTTTTTCGGGCGAGAGTCTACACCGTGGACGGTGTATGGTTCAAGTCTTGGGGGGTGGATAGATCCTTCATACATTCAGGTCTATCTACATAGGATTGCATTTAGTTTAGGTGCATTTTATCATGCATATAGACTTAGAAAAATTTTTCATCTTTTGCATATCACTTTGCATTAATTGCATTTACACGTTTTCTTTCTTTTCATATAGATGATTTTTGTTAGGTTTGCATGATTGCATTTGATCATATAGATTTAGGATCATATAGGTTCACGTGCATACCTCGAAAACTCGTTTTGAGCATCATTTGGAAGATTTGAGGGATGATAGAGTTGGAATATCTTGATGATCTAGTGACTTTGTAGAACCGTGTCGAATTGATAGTTCTCTAGACTTTCTATATATAGTTTGTGGGATGGGATTGTTGTTTGGAACCTACGGAGTTGAAACGACTATATCCAGATTATATGTTTCTTGTAGAACCTTTTCCGAGTCTTGCAGGTCGATGAAATCTAGTTCAACAATTGCCTTGGGAAAATAAAGCATTTCGACACTTCGCTGTCGGAATCTCATCAACGAAAATCGTTCGAGGACATGAGTGCATCGATTGATGGTTCGGGTCTAAGTTGTGGGTCAGACATCGCATCAAAGAAAAAAAATATAAAAAAATAAAAAAAAAGAAAGAAAAGAAAAGAAAGAGAGAAAACGATGTCCTTCAACTTCAACGTCCTAGAAACCCGAGGTGCTAGCATTTGATAGAGAAATTCTACAAAAAGGTAAAAATCCAGGTATGAAGTAGAACTAACATCGAAGAGGCTGAGTTGAGACAAGAATAGGTTCGGAACTATGATTGGTGAGTTGTAGAGATTCTAATGGGTTCTAGGTAGCAATAAAAATCCCATGTCTAGGTAGATTAGTCTTTGGTAGGAAGATCATAGTAGACCGGTTTGGGTACGACTCTCGGGAAACTAGTATTGGATGGATGTTTTGCTTTTGAGTCTCACGATGATGCTATTTGATGTTCGTCATTCCCTGTCTTGCAGATTTTATTCCTTCATTCTTTACTCGAGGACGAGCAAACGTTTAAGTCTGGGGGATTTGATAACTCCTATTCTTCTCTATATTTTGATGAGAGTTTGTCTAGGTTTTATAGGATAATCACATGCATTCATAGGCATTCTAGGCGTGTTAGGACAAAAAACCCGGTTGTGCTTTAGTTTTGCAAAGTTATAGGTTTCGAAGATGATTGGACTCGAAAAGGAGCTATTTGGAGCGTTAAAGGAGAAGTCTGGATGAGGTACTCATGTTTCGACATCAATAACTTTGTCTACAGAGGTCCAAATCGGGTGAAACTTATACCATTGGAAAGAGCACTTCAAGAGCTTCACGTAAACACTGAAATCGCGTAAATCCAACACCGGAGTAGAAAGTTATGAGAGAATTCGTGAAGACCAGAAAACTGCCCGCGCAGGGCCGGATCCAACTGGATCCGGTCCGGATCAAGGACGCAGAATTCGACCCCAGGAATCTGGATCCGGTCCGGATCCACCTGGAATCGGTCCGGATCTAGTAAAAAAACCCTGTTTCGCGATTTTCAGCACCAGAATGGGAATAGGACTTTTGGGAGCCGCCCTAGGGTTATAAAAAAGCCCTAGCCACGTCCTAGAACATCAGAGAGCCTTAGAGAACACTTAGATACAGACTTTTGGAGAGCTTTTGGTGAGAGAAGAATAAGAGTTCACGGGGATTTTGGGAAGAAGAAGGAAGATTCGACCGTGGAGACTACACATCTGCATGAGTCTTTCTTTCCTCTCTTTTATCTCTTTCTTTATGTGCTTTTTATTGTTTTCCATGAACCGTGAGTAGATCCACGGCTATGGGTTAGGGATTCGTATGTGTTTTGGGTATGTTTGAACCCTAACTTGGATTTCGGTTTTGATTTGTTTCGGTTCTATTGATTTGCGCTTTTATTGGATTGATGTTTGCTAACCCCTTGGTAAATTATGTTAGATTCTAAACTACATAGAGATATGGGTTTGGTTTCGGATCAAAATCAATAGAATAGATCGTATTATTCACATAGAGATATCCCGACACCCGTAGTCATCATTGCTTGATAGTTTACTCATTTTTATTTGCTTTCTTATTTTATTTTCCATTGATTCCACCTATTTCCATAATCACTTCCACTTGCTTGCTTTGATTTGGCTTCGATTAGGATTTAGACTTAGCTACCGGTCCTTGTGTTCGACCCCGTGTTACGACGATCCGTATCCTTGCGGTGAGTTGTGAATCGGGTATAAATTCAAGACTCGATACACACGTATCAAGTACAAAACCAGCTTGGCAAGACTGTTAAGACATTGCGATCTGATCGTGGTGGCGAATATATGAGCCAAGAGTTCACTGACTATCTGGTAGATTTTGGAATTGTTTCACAGTTGACCCTTCCTAGAACGCCACAGTGGAATGGCGTGTCTGAACGGAGGAACCGCACCCTATTGGATATGGTACGGTCTATGATGAGTCAGATTGATCTTCCAAAATCTTTCTGGGGTTATGCCTTAGAGACTGTTGCTTTCATTCTGAACAAGAGTCCAAAGAAAACGGTTCAGAAGACTCCATATGAGATATGGACTGGGAAGCGTCCCACTTTGTCTTTCTTGAAGATTTGGGGATGCGACGTTTACGTGAAACGTCAAGCTTATGATAAGCTATCCGCCAAATCTGACAAGTGTCTGTTTGTAGGGTATCCTTAGGAAACTAAAGGGTACTATTTCTACAACCCGGTCGAGAATAAAGTGTTTATTACTCAGAACGGGAAATTCCTGGAGAGAGAGTTCGTCTCTAAGGGAATTAATGGGAGTAGAGTTAATCTCGAAGAAGTTCGAGAATTACAGACAGACGCTGGACCGAGTGAGCAAGTTGAAGATGTTCAACCTGCATCACAGGGACTTGAGACTCCGTCTGATACTTGTGAACCTCGGAGATCAGGGATAATTCACCTAGAGCCTACGAGATATGGATTTCTCATGACTGGTAATGATGAACTCATGTTATTGGAACATGACGAGCCTACATCATATCCAGAGGCTATGGCGAGTTTCGACTCTGAGATATGGCACGAGGCTATGAAGTTTGAGATACAATCTATGTACGACAACAAAGTATGGACTTTGGTTGATGCGTCTGAAGGGGTAAAACCCATCGGATGCAAGTTGGTTTTTAAGAAGAAAACCGACATGGATGGCAATGTGCATACCTATAAGGCACGATTGGTGGCGAAAGGGTTTCGGCAAATTCATGGTATTGACTATGATGAAACCTTCTCGTCCGTTGTATTCCAAACGTTTTACGATAAGGCCAACGTAAATTTAGTTCTAAACCCTATAAATAGAACTAGGGTTCTTGACGGACCTCTTCAACAACCACATAAAAACCATTTCCATAAGCCTAAAAAAAACCGAACCCGAACATGTCGAAGGTTTACTTCACAGTAATCTTGTTCGCGCTCTTGATCACAATGTCTCGTGAGTCCCCTCCACAGCTTCTATGAGATGTTTTTTTATATCTATCTATCTATCTATATATATATATATATATACACGTATGTATACGTATATAATATGGTTATTTTAACAGTGTTGCGTACAAATTATATTTGTGTTAATGGCAGACGTGACATGCACGAGAGAGATGGGAGACTCGGGAGAGGACAAGTCGAGGAAGGTGCCGTGCACTTCGGACAGCGACTGTGGATTGATGAGATGCTTCGTAGGTGTGCCTAAATGCGTTAGTGGCGTTTGCCATTGTCGCTTCAAACCTACTAATGCCCCCGAAGCAATCTGAGACCGTTTTAGCATTTTGTTGTTCTGAATTAATAAATAAATAAATCAATCAATCTTGACAAAGTTTCTTTTATGTCTCATATTCTCGCACATCGAAGGAGTATATTGCTGTTAATTTTTCATTAGAATACAATTATATGGCGAATACTATATTTCTAAATATTTTGTTCGGTAATAAATAAGTTTAGAAAAATATAAAAATGAAAAGTTTGTTATTAAGAAAAATGGGAAATTGAGAGGAAGAAGCAACGCGAACCAATCTAATAAGCGATTTTAATGAGTTGGAGTAATATATAGTAAACTAATATATGATTATAAAATTTGAAAAATACTTATTAATTGTGTATACGTTATTAACGCAATTAAACCAACCTGCAAAGCATCTCATATTTTGTAACAAACTGTATGAAATCTACTATTCAATGTATTGAATTGAACATACAGATTGTTGAAGACCGAGATGAACAAAACTATAGGATCGAGTGGTGTTTTTGGTTTCTCGGCGTATTACGAGCCGGCAAGACAAGAGTAGGGTTTTTAGAGAAACGATGAGAATAAAAGAAAGAATTCTCTTATTGATGATGAGTATACATACGTAAGCTATACATATATACTATTATACGTCCTTTTGAGAAAAGGAATTTGAGTAAATACAAAGACATATAAAAGGAAATGTAATATCTTGTAAGACAAGAAAAGGAAGTTATATGCATGTGCTATCATGGTTTCCTTATTCTCAAACGATCATGCCGTTGTGTTGTCCAAAGAATCCGCAATTCCCGTAATATCATCAACATTCCCCCTCAAGATTGGTCGGGAAAAATCGACTAGACCAATCTTGGAGAGGACGCGATTAAGCACGAATGAACTTGTTGCCTTTGTGAGGATATCCGCGAGTTGATCTTGGCTTCGAGTATACTTTGTCGTGATAAGTCCTTGAACGATCTTCTCTCGGATGAAATGGCAATCAACTTCAATGTGCTTGGTTCGCTCGTGGAACACGGAATTAGCTGCGATATGTATTGCCGCTTGATTGTCACAATGCATCGGAGTAGATTGCGTAATATTAACTCCGAGATCTCTTAGCAATTGTTGCAACCATAGTATCTCACTTGTTGTATTAGCCATAGCTCGGTATTCGGCTTCTGCGCTTGACCTTGCTACCACGGTTTGCTTTTTGCTTTTCCACGTGACTAAGTTTCCTCCAACGAATGTGCAATATCCGCTAGTCGGTCGTCGATCCATCCTATCACCTGCCCAATCCGCATCACAATATGCTATGAGCTCGGTATGATTGTTGTTTGCCATCCAAATACCCTTGTTTGGTGTGCCTTTCAAATACTTGAGAATCCGATCTACCATGTTCCAGTGAGATGTTGTCGGAGCATGCATCCATTGGCTGACCTGATGCACGGCAAAACTTATATCAGGACGAGTGATAGTAAGATATATAAGCTTACCTACTGTCCGTCGATATTGTGTCGGATCATCCAACAATTCCCCCTCGCGTTGATCCTTGAAGTTTTCTTCTATTGGAGTTCGAACCGGTTTGGCGCCCGCCTTGCCCTTATCCTGTAACAACTCAAGAAGATATTTTCTCTGCGAAAGGAACAACGCGTTAGTAGACCGAGTTACTTCAATACCAAGAAAGTAACTTAGGGAACCGAGATCTTTGATATCGAATACACTTTGGAGATATTGCTTGGTATTTTGAATCCCGACTGTATCACTACCGGAGAGGATGATATCGTCGACGTATACTAATAGGACGATAATGCCGGTTGAGCTTTGTAAGGTAAAGAGGGAATGGTCTGAGTCGCAACGCTTGAAGCCTCGAGCAATCAACGCCGAAGATAGCTTGTGATACCAAGATCGTGGCGATTGTTTCAACCCGTATATAGCTTTCTTGAGCTTGCAGACTTGGCCCGGAAGAATTGGACGATTAAGACCCGGTGGAGGGGACATGAAGATGTTTTCCTCGAGATCTCCTTGAAGAAAGGCATTCTTTACGTCCATCTGCCACAAAGACCAATTCGAGTTAATAGCCAAAGATAAAAGAACAC